TTGATCAACAAGATCATGAATTTCAGAATGTTTTTAAACTATAAACCTCGCATCACTTTGGCTGCTGGTGGATTTTAAGATCATTTTAAAATGAATTTTTAGTTTTTCTCCTGTGTCTTCCACAGCACCAGCAAGTTCTGGTTACCTAGTGATTACTCAACCAAAGACTTCATGATTTGATTACAGATCACACATGACAGTTTTTTTCAGTTGAGGCAAAACTCCATGAGCTCCACCTTTGTAACCAATTTTTAAGTGTACAGTACAGTATTAATATCATGTTACTGTACAGCAGATCCCTAGAGTCTTCATTTGCGTGGCTGGGACTCAGCACCGCTGAACTCCTCAGTTGCTCCCCCAGCGTCACCGACAGCCGGCACTTACTTTCTTTCTCACGAGTTTGGCTTCTTTAGACAGCTGGTGTAAGCAGAGGCGCGCAACGCGCGTCTTGGTGGGTGGGCCGGGCTTGCTTTGCTTCGCCTACAGTGCACGAGGCTGAATCTACGCGGGAGCGTGTGTCAGAATTTCCTTTCTTTTTAGCGCTGAAGAACATTCCACGGTGTGCACACACTACACTTACGGTTTATCCATCGGGGCACGTTTAGATGTTGTCACCTGCTGACTGTGCAGTGACAGTGGCTATGCCGACGATCCCTGTTTTCGGGTGGTTTGTAGTGCGAGGGGTTGAACCCTGGAGCCTTCATGTAGAGTGACATCCAAGGCATTTTTTTGTTGTTGTTTTTGTTTTTAATTTTAATTTGACACAGAGTCTAAGTTACTGATTTGCCCAGGCTGGGCTTGAACTTTTGATCTGCCCTGTGTCAGGCTCCAGCAGTTCTGGGAGCCACATGTGGCTCCTGCCTTTAGTGCTTTTGCCTAAGTGCCCAGAGGTGGGTTGTTCTGTTGCCCATGGGGTGGTTTTCTTTTTGTTGGAGGAATTTCCATTCTCCACAGCGGCTGACCGTGTTACGTTCTCAGTGTTGTGCAAGGCTCCAGTTTCCCCACATCCTTGCCACCATTTGTGGCTTCCCTTTGTCTGCATAGTTTCCCTCGTGGTTGTTCTAGCAGATGGGAGGTGGTACTTGTGGTTTGATTTGTGTTTCCCCAGGGCTGAGCGATGCTGAGCATCTTCTCTCGTACGTGCTGGCCCTTGTTTGCCTTCTTTGGAGCATGTCTAAGTCGTTTGGCCATTTCTAAGTTGAGTTATTTGTTTTCTTGCTATTGAGTTGAGTCCCTTATATATCTTATTTCATCTTCCTTCAGTGTATGGCTTGCACATACTTTCTCCAGTTGTATTTGTTTCCTTTGCTGGGTACAGATTTCTGATTGGATGCAGTCTTGCTTGTGTGTTTTATTTCCGCGCTATACCCAAGCAATCATTGCTAAAACCATTGCTATGAAAAATTCCTGCTTTTTTTCCCTAGGATTTTTACATTGTTACAGCTTATATTTAAGTCTTCTATCTAAAGACTTGATTTATTTCTTATGTATTTGGTAGAGTCTCACTACATGGATTGGACTTATAGTAATCCTCCTATTTTCAACCTCCCCGGCACTGGGATTACAGGTGTACACCACCATGCCCAGTCTTGGTGGCTGGCTCAGTGCACCGTGGGGAGAGGGGCGGTGTGTGGCTGGTGTGGCATGTGGTGCTGGGGATCAAACCCCAGTCCCTACCCTTGCCTAAGCAGTTGCTTAGTACAGTGAGCTATCTTGCCAGCCCTTGACTTGATTTTGGAGTGTGGTTTAAGTGTCTAGTTTTACATGTGCATTTCTAGTTTCTGAATAATCTGTCGAGGGAGACTCCTTTGCGCTCTTGTGTATGGCTGGCACCCTTCTCAGGGAATATTTGATCATGGCTTGCTTTCTGAAGTGTATAAGCTATTCCTTTGGTCTCTATGCCTGCTTTTATGCTAGTGTTATGCTGTTTTGATTGTCTGAACTTTATGATATGTTTTGAAATAAGTTAGTTGAATCCTTCAGCTTTTTTTTCTCTCTAGAGAAAAAGATTATTTGGAGGTTCTTTCTGGTTACATATGAATTTCAGGATTTTTTTCTACATCTAGAAAAATGTCATCCATATTATGATAGAATTGCATTGAATATATAGATTGCTTTGGGTGGTGTGGGTGCTTTTAACAATTTTCAGTTTTCCAATCTATGAACAACTAATTTTTGAAAGTGACATTTTGTAGTTTTCAGTGTGCATCTCTTTCACCTCTTTGGTTATGTTTATTCCTAAGTACTTTTTTTTTTTTTTGTGGTACCAGGGATTGAACTCAGGACCCTGTGCTTGCCAGGCAAGCACTTATTCTACTGAGCTATCCACCTGGCCCTCTAAGTACTTTTTTGATATTGTGGTGCATGAGATTATTTTAATTTTTGTTTTGGATAATTTGTTGTTGATATATGTAAATATAACTGGATTTTTTTTTTTTAATGTCCGTTGAAATTTTGCCTAGTTTGCTTTTTGGTTCTAACAGGTTTTGAAAAAATTTTTCATGTGTGTGTAATTTTGAGGGCTTTCTACATATAAGATCATGTAATCTGTTCATAGTGATAATTTTAATTGTTTCTTTTGTTAGGATGCCTTTTCTTTCTTTTTATTGCTTAATTTCCCCAGTGTTGAATTCTAATGCTTTTTTCTGATCTTAGAGTAAGTCTTTGAGACTTTCGGGGTTGAGGATGATGCTAGCTATGGGCTTTTCATAAACAGAAATTACACTGAGGTAATTGTTTTGTATTCCGAGTTTGTTGAGTCTTTTTGTCAAGAAAGGATGTTACCTTCAGTCAAATGTTTTTGTTCTTTGCTATGTTAATGTGATATATTGATTGATTTTCATGTATTGAACCATCCTTGCCTCTCAGGGATAAACTCCACTTGGTTATGGCATAGAATCATCTTGGTTTTCTTTCTTTCTTTTTTTTTTTTTTTTCTCCGAATGCCTTCAGGGCAGGTTTGGCTGGCTTGAGTTGTGGGGATCGAACCACAGCAAGCTGAGCCTGACTGCTTTGTTGAAGCAGCCGAATTATCTTAATTTGTTGTCAAATTTGGTTTCCAAATACTGTATTTCCTTGAGGCTTTTTGCATTTGTGTTCTTGAAGGGTGTTGGCCTGGAGTTTTCTTTTCTTGGCTAGGGTATCAGAGTGCCGCTGGCCTTATAAAATGAACTTGCAACTATTCTCTCCCTTATTTTAGGAGTTTAAAAAAGATTGGCAGTAATTCTTTTGTGAGTGCTGGGTAGAGCTCAGCTGTGACGCCGTCTGGTCCCGAGCTTTTGTTGCGTTCTTCACTGAGTCACTCTTCTTGCTAGCTACTAGTCTGTTCAGATCTTCTCTTCCTTTATGGCTCAGTACTGGTCTGCAGACTGCTGCAGCAAGCAGTGTGACTCAGGGTTGGTAGCTGTCTGTGTCTAGGAATTCACCCATTTCTTCTAAGTTATTCTAACTGTTGTAACTGCTCCCGCTGTGGAAGCATTTATGGCCAGCAACTTTCTTTTTAGTACTGCTTTCACTCTAAGTTCTGTTACACTGTTTCTTATCTTCACTTGTCTTAATAGACACCCTGATTTGTAAAGTTGAATTCCATTCTGGTTGGCAGAGATATTTGCCTGACTGCAAACCCTCTTAAATTTAAGACTTGTGCTGTGACCCAGCAGGGTTTGTGCCGGCAAGTATTCTGTGTATGCTTGAGAAGAATGTGCATTCATCTTGTGACAGATGAATAGAATGTTCTGTGTCTGACTGGGTCCATTTGGTCTTAGTGTTGTTACAGTTCTTTGTTTTCTTATTCATCTTCCATCTGGATGTCATATTTGCTGTTAAAAGAGGAATGCTTAACTCTCTGAGTGATTGGTTATTTCATCCTTCATTTCTGTCAAGGTTTGCTTCATGTATTTTGGTGCTCTGAAGTCATGTTCATACGCATTTGTAATTACTACATCTTCCTTATAAATTGGCCATTTTATCATTATAAAATGCCTCTATTAGTGTCTTGTAACAGTTTTTGACTTGAGGTTTATGTTTTGGATCTAAGAATGCCCCCTCAGCTAGCTTTCTGTTACTGTAAAAAACAACCTGAGGTAATCAACTTAAATAGAAGAAAGGCTTCCTTGGGGGGGTTCCAGAGCCCCTTCAGGGCGCCCCGATCTGATTTCCTCCCTTGCGGCCCCTCCTTCTGATGTCTCCACCGCCTCCTGGTGACCCAGGAGCTGAGGTCGAGGCCTCCACAGAGTGCCATTGGGTATGTTCCACATTCAAATGGTATCATGGCCTCCCTGCTCTATACTGGTTTTTATCTGCATAGAGCATCCTCTCCTGCCCTCCTCTTTCAGTGTGTGTGCTCTTTTTTACTTTGATACAGGGTCTTGCTATGCAGCTTGGACTCATAGTGATTCTCCTGTCTCATCCTCCCCAGTCCTGGAATTATAGGCATGCACCACCATGCCTGGTTTGGGGCTGGCACAGTACATCTGGAGTTCCGGGGCTGGCACGGCATGTGGTACCAGGGATTGAACTTGGGACCTTGCACTTGCTGGGCAGGTGCTTATGCCACTGAGCCTCCCCAGCTTCCAGTGTGTGTGTTCTTAAGGCCAAAATGAGTCTCTGGTGAATAGCACCTAGTGGGTTATTGTTTAAAAGGTTCATTCAGCCATTGAAAGAGTTCCTGTTTTTTAAGCATTTCTTCACATTTAGGATATATTGTGCTTTTACACCCATGTATTTCTGAGAGCTAAAGAAGTACAATTTTTCTTTTTAGCTGTACTGGGATTGAATTCAGGACCCTCATACTCAGCTACATCGACAACCCTTTGTATTTTTTATTTTGAGACAGACAGGGCCTTACTAAATTGCCCAGGCTGGTCTTGAACTTCTGATTCTCAGACTTCATGCTCCCAAGTAGCTGGGGTTATAGCCATGTACCCCTGGGGCAGGGAACAGTGTGTGGTTTTTTTTTTTCCCTTTTGCTTACTGTTCTTGTTTTCTCTTTCTCTTAACAGAGACAACGAATCTGACCCCTTCTAACGACCTAACCTCGAAAATGTGTTCCACGAACCCAGGCAGCTGGGTCACTTTTGACGACGACTCCACTTTTCAGTCTCCGAAGTCAAGGAGCTTCCCCCTGGAGAACCCAGGCGCCTGTAGACCTAACGGCCTGAAGCTGAGCCTTCCTGGCCTCAAGGAGCTGCCCAGTGGGCCATCCTCCACCAGCAGCACCCCTCTGTCTTCTCCCATGGTCGATTTTTACTTCAGTCCAGGACCACCAAGTAATTCTCCTCTTTCTACACCGACCAAAGACTTCCCAGGTTTTCCCGGCCTGCCTAAAGCTCACGTGCTGTACCCTATTCCAGAGTCTTCCTTAAGTAGCCCCCTCACACTGCCGGCGGCAGGCTCCTCCTCCGTTCTGCCTGCTAAGCCAACCTGTTCATCGCAGGCTTTCTTACCCATTGAGCTCTCTTGCACAGTTCCGGCTCCCAGAGTAGGTCTTCCAGAGGAACTTTGCCCTCAGCAGGCTGAAAACACAGGGGTCCCCAGTGATGCTCCCCAGTTTCGGTACTTCCAGGAGGACTGTGGGTTTTCAAGTCCATTTTGGAAAGAAGAAAGCAGCGCTTCTCAGTTCACCTTTGACCCCCCAGGAGGCAGGAAGACGTTCTCGCCAAGAGACAAGGGGATGCCTGTTGATCAAAAAAGCCTAAATAAATGCTCACTCAACTACATCTGTGAGAAGCTTCAACACCTCCAGTCAGCTGAGAGCCAAGACCCTCTGGGGAATGTGTCTGCGCAGGGTGCCTGTGCTGAAGCCCCTGCCTCTTCCTTTGTCCCCCACACACTCTTCAGGAGTCAGCCCAGAGCTGGGTGGTCTTTCATGCTGAGAATTCCTGAGAAGAAGAACATGATGTCTTCCCGTCAGTGGGGGCCAATTTTTCTGAAAGTTGTGCCTGGTGGAATCTTGCAAATGTACTATGAGAAGGGGTTAGAGAAACCATTCAAAGAGTTACAGCTCGATGCGCATTGCAGGCTGTCCGAACCCAAAGTCGAGAGCTTTAGTGTGGCAGGAAAGATCCATACTGTGAAGATTGAGCATGTGTCCTATGCAGAGAAGAGGAAATACCATTCGAAGGTGGAAGTGGTTCATGAGCCAGATGTGGAGCAGATGCTGAAGTTGGGGTCCCTGGAGTACCGTGACTTTCTCGACTTCCTGACGACTGTGGAGGAGGAGCTGATAAAGCTGCCAGCTGTTTCAAAACCAAAAAAGAGCTATGAGGAGCAAGAACTTTCCCTGGAGATTGTGGACAACTTTTGGGGTAAAGTCACAAAGGATGATGGGAAACTGGTTGAAAGCGCCGTGATCACTCAGATTTGCTGCCTGTGCTTTGTGAGTGGGAATGTGGAATGCTTTTTAACCTTGAATGACCTTCAGCTGCAGAAGCAAGATGAATGCTGTTTTGAAAAAGATCCAGACAAAAAGTGGATCGATATTCTCGACCACCATTTTCACAAGTGTGTGAAAGCACAAGACTTCGAGCAAACGAGAATCATTAAGTTTGTGCCTCTGGATGCCTGCAGGTTCGAGCTGATGCGCTTCAAGACTTTGTATCACGGGGACGAGCTTCCGTTTTCTGTGAAGTCCGTGGTGGTCGTCCAGGGGGCGTATGTGGAGCTTCAGGCCTTCGTCAACATGGCCCCGTCGCTTCAGAGGTCCCTGCTCACCGGGGCCCTGCCGTGCTGTGACAACATCATGATACACTTTCCGGTCCCGTCTCAGTGGGTCAAGGCCCTCTGGACCATGAATCTCCACAGGCAGAAGTCCCTGAAGGCCAAGATGAACCGCCCGCTGTGCCTGGGAAATTTGCACGGACCTGAATCTGAAGCTGTCATTCAGGTCACCGTGGGGTCGGCAAAATATGACAGCGCCTACCGGGCTGTGGTGTGGAAGATAGAGCGGCTTCCTGATAAAAACTCGAGTAAATATGCAGGCCTGTGTTGATTTTCATGTGACGTAGCTTACGTGCCCCCCACCCCTGGGTCGAAGCTGGGCAGAGCCAGATGGCCACCTGGCAGCAGAGGCTGTGTTCACGTAGATGGGTGTGGGGGGACGCTTGGCCAAAGGGCAGCTTGTTTCCTCTCGTGTCGGTTCTACCAGACAAGTTTAGCATTTCACATCTTTTTCAGATCATAAGAATTACCATCCTAGGCTAGGAGTTTGTCATGTGTGGTGGGGCTGAGGGAGGGCCTGTGGATGTACCGCATGGGATTTTTTTTTTTCTTTTTTTTTGTACCAGGGATCAAACTCAGGACCTTGTGCTTACCAGGCAGGCGCTTATGCTGCTGAGCTACCTCCCTGCATTTCTTGGCATCAACCTCAAATACTAAAAATGTGTCTAGCGAAGTTTAGATTCACTAATTTACCTGAAAACATCTGTTACCCATGAATATATTTAAAGTTTTCTTTGTATTCTCAGCCAATATAACTTGTTCTTTGGGTTTTACTCCTTGCTCTTTGCAGTAAGACTGCCTTTCATTTTTTTCCCAAATTGATTTTTGACTGAATTTACCCATTTGACCACTTCAGCTTGTTTTAGAATTAGGTAAAGTGAACATTAAAAAGGCAGTTAATGCTTGACATTTTAAATTTTGTTAATGTTGTAAGTTCTAGAAGTTCAGAACTTCGAAAACAATCGCAGCATTGTGTTTATTTTAGAACAGTAAATTAGTAGTAGGCATGAAGCGAAAAAGCAAATTTTGAAATTAGAGCCATACTTCTCTATGTTGAGGTTTGTTCTAGTGGAAGCCCCTTGGGACAGCCCAGATTAGGAAGGGGAAAGGGAAAGTGGAGGGAAGGTGGGCCTGAGGGGAGTCTGTCGCAGGGTGGAGTCTCCTGGGGGAGGAGGCAGCCTCTCCGGCAGCGCGAAGGCTGCTGTGTGCGACCAGCTGGCAGGCCATTGGACTTTTAGTGAAGAGAAGATTTTCTTTAAAAAGAGACTTTAAAATATTATCAGGTGCTGGGGAGATGGCTCAGTGGAACAGGCGCTTCCCTGGCAAGCACAAGGGCCTGAGTTCAATCCCCAGTTCCTGAGTTCAATCCCCAGTTCTGCATTAAAAAAAAAAAAAAAAACATACACACACACACACACACACACACACACACAATCTTCATCAGGGCTGGCCAAATAGTTCAGCGGATTTAAGCGCTGCAAGCAGGGGGTTTGATCCCCAGGCCTGCTGTGCCAGCCCAGCCCCCGGGGCTCTCTGAGACAGTAGTTGAGGCTGGGTGTGCTGGCGCGCCCCAGCTCTTAGGAGGCTGTAAACAGGCAGATCACTACGAGTCCGACCTAGTAGTGAGACCCTGAACACCCTGTAGACCCTTCCCTAAAATTTAATTTATTTATTTATGGTTTTTTGGGCAGAACAGGGGATTGAACTCAGGCCCTTGTGCTGGCCAGAGAAGCACTTATTCCACCGAGCCATCTCCCCAGCCCCCCTTCCCTAAAATTAAACAAACAAACATACAAAAACCCTCTTCAAGTTAGCTTCAGAAAAACTTACACAATTGGAAAAAAACTTTGTAGGAAACCAAAAGAAAAATATGAGCCAGGGTGCTCTGCATTCATTACAATTTTGTCTGGCTTTTCTTCCTGGGCCTTCGTGAGCGGGGAGCCAGAGCGCGGCTGGCCCCAGGCGGCGGTCCCCTCCCTCGGCGGCAGCGCCGTGCTCCTGTAACAGCGGAGTTGTCGGACGTCGCAGTGTGGCCTGGCCACCGGGAGTGGCTCGTCACCTTCAGACTAGGGAGAGACAGGCAGTGTCACCACGAGCAGGTGTGAAGAGGGGCGTCCACCGGGGCAAAAAGGGGGGAAGGAGGAGCAGAGCGCCAGGACAGACGAGGGCTTGCCTAGCCAGGGAGGGTGACAGGCGGCCCCCAGGGGCGAGCGAAAGGCGCAGCCGTCCGGCCCTCACGGCCGGTCGTTCTCCTTTGCTCTGTGGCATCCGTTGTCCTCCACGCATCCCCCAGACGGGGAGAGTGTGGATAAGCATTTCCGAGGCTCGAGGGCGCCCGCTGCTGGCCAGCTGTGAGACAACAGGATTTTCCTCCACTTTAAATAAAATAGCTACACAAATGAGTGGGTTTCCTTTTGGGAGATTTGTATGTGCGAACAACAGCTTTGTGCTTTGCCCACTATTTTGTCCCTTCATCGTCCCAAGTTTCACGTTTTTTCAATGTGAATGTTAACGGGGGGTTCAGTGTGTGTATATAGTTTGCTCTCCCCTTTTATTCATGCATGTGACAAATACGGGTTAAGCCCCAGACCTGCTGAGGACGGATGCGACGCGTGTTCTCACTGAACTCGAGGTTGAGCGAGGGGGTGCGTTAGTAGATGCTGATTTAGAGATTTCAAAAGCCAGGAAAAATGCCTCAAAATGTGAAAGGACGATGTTGTTTTACCTTTCACCAGCTTCTTAGAAAAAGAAAGGTTTTGCTTCTAGCATTTGGCAGTATTAGGCTTTCAACATGGATTTAATTTTTGCTTCAATTTTTTGTTGCAAAACTTCCCTCAGTCTTTTCCTAGAAAATGTGGGTATCAAATTAGGTCATCTCCAGGGTCATTCTCACCTCTGCCTGGCAGCATTCACAGTTCCTTTAGTAGCTGAATTACGTGCTTAGATAATGGTAAATGGGTTTCCAGCCGAGTGGCGCCTGTCGGAGTAACGCACGTGCGCAGCGTGCGCTGCAGCGAGGCCCTCGGCGCGGCCGCGGAGGGCAGGGGGCGTCCTCGCGCTCCTCCGCAGGGAGGCCGAACCCGGGGTCGGCAGCTGAGGCGTCAGGGTGCAGAACTGTGCGGCCCGAAGCCTTTGGGAGAGGCGCGGAGGGCGGGCTCCCGGGAGGGCGGGCTCCCGGGAGGGCGGGCTCCCGGGAGGGCGGGCTCCCCGGAGGGCGGGCTCCCCGGAGGGCGGGCTCCCCGGAGGGCGGGCTCCCCGGAGGGCGGGCTCCCCGGAGGGCGGGCTCCCCGGAGGGCGGGCGGCGTGGCGCTAGCGCTTGCCTTAGCCCGTGCAAGCAGCGCAGAGTCCTCCTGGCCGCCCGGCCCGGCCCTAGGAGCGCGTGGAGGAAATCGCTAATGAGCACGTGTGGGCTAATTGCTGGGTGACTCTTACAGCTCAGAATTCTATTAGTCTCCACCAAAAACGGTTGTAAGGAATGAAAGGCAATTTGTCTTTCAGGAATTAAGTGAAATCCTTTAAACTCTTGTTCTTGTGCCTACAGCTATACTCTGATGAAAATGTTCTTTTAAGCTATGTCAGTGGTCCAGTAATTTAATCTGGCTTTTGAAATTAGTCGTCTCATACATTTATTTAAGAAAAGATAACACACAAGACATATAGATGTTCTGAACAATAGGACAAGGGTGAGGTGATTTGTTACTACGGTGAAAATATTTTTTACCCCGTTAAAACAAACGTGCACACATGTGTATGTGCATAGATTGAGTGACCCACCAGAAATCTTTGATAGAAACAATTTCCCTGATGTCTTAGTTACTGCTTTTCTAGTTGCTGAGGCAAAATACTCAACATCCAAAGTGGAAGGAGAAGAGGCTTATTTCACCTTAGAGCTTGTGGAGGTTCCAGTGCATAGTTGCCTGGTTCCAAGGCAGGGTAGCGTGCATAGTGGAGGGGCATTGCCGGTGAGAAACAGCCCATGGCAGGCACGCAGGAGACGGCACAGCAGCAAGCAGCCGCCACAATAACAGCAGTAGCGGCAGCAGCCTGCCTTTCCCTTTTAGCTCTTTCAGGCTACCTGCTTCCTGGGTAGTGCCACCCACACCCAGGGAGGGCCTTCCCATCGTCCGCCGCACTCAGAACTCTGCTGAGCCACTCAGTGGACTAATGTAGCTATGACACCCCTTCCATGCGAGCGTCACACACTTAGCCCCGGCACCATGCTGCCTCGATCTAGCCACCTCCGCCTGTGTCTGCATGAGGCCTCGGGGCAGCTATAAGAGCCATGACGCTTGAGCTTGGCAGAGCCTGGCCTGGCACATTGTAGGGGCTTGATAGAGTGAGAACAAATATAGATTGAAATACTGAAGACCCATATGCCCACCTCCATGCTATCCCTCTGTTCTAGTCAAAACTTGCCAGAAGCCCAAGTGAGAATTTTATTTTTAATTTTTTTCCCATA